GATGAATTTGTTATCAATGAGTTTGTTGACTTCTTCCTCTAAGGCCTGTTGTCGGTCTGGACCGAGTTTCCTTCTTTTCTGGATGACGGGTTTGATGGTGTGATCAATGTTGAGTCGATGACAGGCTACCTTTGGATCTATTCCTTTCATGTCTTCCTGTTTCCAAGCAAAGACATCGGCATTGGACTTTAGAAATGAGATGAGTTTGGTTCGAATAGGTTCTTGGAGATTGGCCCCAATACGCAGGGGTTTATCGCAGATGGGTTCATCAACATAGATGACTTCTATCTCCTCAGATGGTTCTGCTCTTTTTTCTTGCTTCTTCTCTTTAAATTGACTTCGCGGGTCTAACTCATCTTCTTCCACGACTGGTTCTTTTCCAGGTCTTCTCCCTCTATCTCGGGTAAGGTCTTTCTCACTGGGATTGGAAGTCGGGATTGTTGACGTCGGCTGAATATCTGACAAAGATGTAATGACTTCGGATGGGTTTGAAGTCGGAGACGCCGATGTCAACTGGACTGCAGAGTGAGTCGCGACAACTCTCAGGTCGGCATCTTGAATGCCTTCGGGAGTCAAACCTCGTGGAACTCGAGTATGGTCGATCATTCTTTCATTTTTATCAACATGCATCTCCAAATTATGGATTTCACGAGATGGGATGGCTAAAATTAGCTCACGGGCTCCCAACTGATCGCCATAATGGGTCCCCTCACCATCAGCGGTTGGAAACTTGATCGAATAATGGAAAATGGACACTGCTGCTCGCAACTTGTACAGGGCTGTCCTTCCAATGATGGCATTGTATTCGTTGTTGATGTCCATAATTTTGAAATTTTCCATGATGACCTTGGAAGTCTGCCCATATCCGAACCTGATGGGGAGGGTTATTTCTCCTAACGGAAGAGACACGCTTCCGTTGAATCCGTGAATTTTATCGTTACTTGGGCGGACGTCGGCTGTATCAAGTCCGAGTTTCCTAAAGGCTTGAAGCATAATGATACTCGAATATGCACCAGTGTCCACCATTATACGATGAACGGGAATCCCGCAAACTGGGGCGGTTATGATTAATGCATCCGAATGAGGATGATCGAACAAGCTCGCATCTTCTAATGTGAAAGTGATCGGACAAGTGCGTGAGTTAATTGTTTCCCGGAGATCGGTATTCATTATTTGTTTCCCCGAGTTGTATGCCTTCCTGGCGTATGCTTTGGCCTGCCGACGTGAGGACGTTGGCTCTTCTCGGTTAGTGTTAACTCGGGGGACAGAGCCTAACCGAATCGGGATTTGAGGAGTGCGATTAGAGTTGGGGCTATCACAGTCCCTGTTTCTTTTTCCAAGTCGGTCGTCAACCGACCTGGATCCTTCTGCTCCGATCATGAATATTTCCTTCTCTCCTTGTTGTAGACGGATTCTTTTGGGATTCATCGCGTCTTCGTCTTCTTCATCTCGGTCAGGAACATGAGCTATTTGCCTCCTTTCTTTAACTTCATGTTTAGTAAATTTTCTCACTTGTGGATTTCCGATCAACTTCAGAAGGGCTGACAATAGACTCAGACATTCATCGGTATTGTGACCTGGAGATCGGTGATAGTCACAATATCGCGACTTGTCCAATTGACTTTCGGGAGTCTTGACTGGTCTAGCTTCGGGAAGGATTCCTTTTCCCTTGATCTCTTGATACACCGTTGCGGCTCCAACCGAGTAAATGGATCGGTAACCCGTGGTTAGATCTTCTTTGTATTGTCTCCTGGCAGCTTTTATGTCGGTGTCGCTCTGCTCTACTTTATACGGCTCTTTGGAGGGTGAATTCTTAGACGAGTTACCGAGGTACTTCTTTTTCTTATTTTCAGAAGTTGGCTTCTGCTCCTTTGATGAGGAGAATTCAAAGTTGGGAACCGACATGGATTCTTCTGCAATAACATGTTGTTGAGCGCGAACAAGGAACTCTTGAAAGGTGTTGGGTTTGTTCTGACACAGCGCCCAGCGAAACATGGATCTTGGCTTCAATCCAGAGATTGCTGAGACAAGAAGTGTCTCAGGATGACAAGGTTCCATGTTTTGCACGCGTTCATTAAAACGTGCAATATAGTCCTTTAAGCTTTCATCCTCTTTTTGGACTATGTTCGTAATCGATTCCTTAGGTATCAAGCTAATTTGAGCCCCGATGAAATGGGATCTGAAAGCCGACCTGAGTTGACCCCAACATCTGATCGATTCAGGCGGTAGCGAATAGTACCACTTCTGAGCTTTGGGACCTAAGGTCAAGGAAAACATACGACATCGTAAAGCATCGTCAGCACCATGCAAGTCCATCCATGACGTGTAATGTCCGAGGTGGGCATCAGGATCCGCGTTTCCGTCGTAGAGGCCAATTTGGGGAACTTTGACTTTTCCTGGTAACGGCCCTCTAGTTAACTCGGTTGCTAGAGGAGAACCGGCTTCCATATAGACATGGTCCGATTCTGGCACGTGGGGATGCTGATAAGGCCTGATTTGAGTGTTTTGCCGGGCTTCCAGCTCTGCCACCTTTCTTCTTAACGCCTCGACTTCTGAAGCGTTACGTCGAGCGGAACGATTACGCTCAATTTGCGTTCTCAGGTCAGCCGGGTTCTCGTTTGGTTGAAATAATGAACGTGCCGCACGGGGCACTCTGGGCATATGCTGAGGGTAACTTTCAACTTGTCGAGGGTGACTTTCAGCAACCATTTCTGATTGATTCGCTGCTGGTCGGTTCATTTCCGCCGGTAGTGCGTTGTTCACCGGCGGAGGGGGCGGATTACGTGGTTGTGAAGTAGCATGGGACGCCACTTGGTTATCGTTATCTCTTGATAGGGGAGGAGCTTGTTGTCTCGCCGGAGTTATGGGAGCAAAAGGGTGTCCTGGTGCTCTGTTCGATGGCCCCGGCATGGTTTGGGCCACCAAAGCAGTGAGTCCACGAGCGAATTCAGGATTTTGCATGAGTTGGGTAATGTCCGGCATAACAGGTACTGGGTTATGTTGACCGGTTGGTGGTTCAACAACACGAACAGCACTTCCCATGGTGGTTGGATTGTCTTGCCCGGACTGTGACATTCTTGATTTTATGAGATGTGGTGTGTATATACGTCGAAAATTGACTCCAAATATCTTATGGAGCCCTCCTTCTAGCGCCAAAATGTTGATAAACGGATTTGATCAACGTTAACAATGTAATATTAACAGAAAAGATTGCTGAAAATGAGATTTTTAGTGAATATTTTGAAGTCGGTCTTAGTACAAAGAGGTCGGTTTTTCAATGTATTTTAAGTCGGTTTACAAAGGGGACTACCGAGTTGAATATATGAGTGTGTATGATCGTTTTTCGAACCCCTCTATCGTTTTCGGAACTGCTATTTATAGGTATGTTTGGCACACATCCCTAGACAAATCATTCCTGTTTTAATGAAGATTTGACATCTTAGGGGCGGCGATGACGTAGAAGAATCTTGTAGGCAATGATTAGCATGGGCGCGCCTCTGTTTGTGTGACGAGTGTCACATCTGTCGGTTTGAAGTCGGTTTGTCTTGTGATGTCGGTATCTTGATTGATTTCCGACGTTCTACGACTTCTTAATAAGTAATTCTTTGACCGAATTGGCCTTCTTCGAGGTTCAGACCGAATTGACCTTCTTCGAGGTTCAGACGACTTGTGTCGATGACCTCGAAATATCCGCGATCATTAATGGGTACCGAGGTGAGGTTACCGAGGTGCAGAACGTACTGATTGACGTCGTCCCGAATTTAGTTCATGCATTAATCTTCACGATTTCTTTAATTGTATTGTAACATCGAGGTATTCTACCTTGGTATCAACAGTACATTCTAAACATAGTGCTTATCTACTCTGTCTGATGTGGTCTAGGATTTTCAAAACAAATTCAACTGCAATGCCATTTACTTGTAAAAGTACGATCAGGATGTATGGCCATGAATGATAAACTACTGAAGGCTTGTGTGATTACAGTGATGCTGGAAACTTCAATTTATTAGTTATACAAGGATGTGAAACATGTGCTGCATAGTTGTCGAGAAAAATTCCAATGCAAAAATGAGGTTTTATGGAGCTTCTATTTATTTGTTTAACAACACAGTTGACCTTTTAATTCATTTGTATGCTTAATCTGATAATTAGCATCTGTAACGCTTTTGACTGGCTATCCTGAGTACTGAGATCTTCCTCATAGTTGCATCCATAACAGAAGGAAGGATCTTCCTTTTATTTTACATATTGTTGACTCCAGGGATTATATTATTTAACCAATCCTTATAAATATGTAATCAATTTTTATTTTTTATTCCTTTTTTTTCTTTAATATCAAAATACCATGTAGGTCATTTACTCGATTTCTTAATTGAGAGCGCATGCTCGGCTGATCAAGTGTTGTTTAATAGGTTGCTTAAATTTGAAGGAATACGCTACTTCTGATGACATAGTGGATGTCTGGATGACCAAAAATAATGTATTTTTTTTTATATTAAAGTGATCTGATATGTAAAATAATATAACCGTGACACATGTTATTATGTCAAACTTTATGTTATTTAACATAATCCAAATTTGTATCATTAGGTTGATTAAATTTGTGATTTTATACAATTCAACCCAAATTTTTATAGTCGACCTAGACTTGTACACCAATATACAAGTCCACGAGAATATAACATAATATATCATAACTTCATTTTCAAGTTTATCTTTTATTTTTCCTTTTGAACAGTTCAGTTCATTTTCTTATATGTTTCAAAGCATAGGAGGATATAACGAATCTTGTATGTTGGGTGAAATTTGAGGATATATATTTGGTTCACAACCTAAGAAAACTAGTGCTATTTTGTGGTGACTTACTGCCATTTTCCAGTCACATTCACCTTCCTTAGTGTTTTTTTTGTTTTTTTTTGGCACATCATTCTCCTTAGTCTTTATAAGCTAATTATGTATTTTATTTAAAAAAAATGTTATTTTTCAACAAATCAGTGCTATTTTGAATCAACCAGATAATGATATTTCTGTATTTTACTATGAAAAAAATGTTTTTTCCAAGAAAAGGATATAACATATCCTTGAGGAATGCAAATTCCATCAAATAAAGAGATTTATGTACAAGCACAAAGAAAAACTCCCTCAAGGAGGAAGAACAAGTATCTCTCCCAGTTCTAAATACGCAGCAGCAAATTCTTCATCGTTTATACCCAACATATTTTTCAATGTAAATTCCACATTCTTACCTTTCAGAACCCAATACCTGGGCCTTATCTTCTTCTCCAGTGAGTAGCTGAAATATCTCGGGTAAGCAACCACATCACTCAGAGGCCTTTGCATGTTGTTCACTAGGAACTCCAACTTTGGCTTCAAATTTTCTTCTACGCTATACCCGAGTATCGGTGAGAATCTGTGTAACATGGACACTATATCGCTTTCTGAAAATCCGACTTCCATCAGGTACCTTACTCTGTCCAAAACACAAAAAATATACAAAAGGTTTTTAGTCATCTTCAGCGATAAACTAGACTAATTTTAATAACTATCCTTTTTACAGAAAATAAGTGATATTTAAAATTACACCATATGCTGTACCTAGGATATAATGCCCTGTCGACGTCACAAACAAATAGTTCTGGGTATTTCCTGATAACTCTCGGGAGATGGGTTTCAGAAATCCCGACACTAGAAAGAAACTCCAACTTCTTCTTGAGAGTTTCGTCTATGCTTGCGGCAAAAATTTCAGGACAACGAGCAAGCGTCTTAGAAATAGCTTTCTCATCCAATCCTAAATCGTTAAAGAAGGATACCACCTGAATGCATAAAACGAATGAATTTGATTCACTCGATGCATACACATTGTTGTATGCATACTGAAAGACTATTCATTTATACCATATATGGTTAGAGACAATCAACATTATTTCATAACTGACTACCAAAGTTGATCATTATTGCAGTTTTCTCAGTACTAGTCACTTTTTAAGCAGCTTTGCTAACAGTAAGTCGATAAGAGTGGCTGGATGTAGACATAAATTAACACGAAAACAGTCACACCAAATAATATTCTTTTTTCCCCTTATTAAGTCACCAAACGTATTTCACCAAGAAAGAAAGCAACCTGATCAAACTCCTCAGGCTTGCGAAGTAGTAATTGTGGACTTTTAGCGATAACCTGACCCAACTTCTTCTTTCTAATATCCATTCGTCTGAACTGTTCCACCATTAGCTCTATTTTGTCTACAGAACATCCTAGAATATGTGGCCAGTTCTTGATTGCACTGGCAGTTGAAATTCTGGGGACCTGCCATAGTATATTAGCATGCTTGTTAACAAATCATCTCAGTTGGTTATTAACATCCGATATACATTTCCTGATGTAACTTTACTACCATATGATACAGAGTAGTATTTCTGACATTATTAAGCATTTGTTTCTGATCAGTACCTTCTCATCATCAAAGAAATCAACAATTTCCTCAAAATTCTCCAGTATGCTTGGAGAAACAATCCAAGGATACTTGACAAGCATCTTACTGATATCATTTTCTCTTATGCCAATCTGCAAGTAACATATTAAGAATGATTAGAAGAGACATTTTTAAACTTTACCTTAAAAGCTTCCACTTTGACATGCATATCACCATAACGGAGTGATTTTATCTACATATATGTTCTGAATTAAGGGTTTATCAGGTTCTAGAATGTTATTACTAACTTCAAAGAACCCATTATGGTAAAATAAAAGGAAGATCCTTCCTTCTGTTATCGATGCAACTATGAGGAAGATCTCAGTACTCAGGATAGCCAGTCAAAAGCGTTACAGATGCTAATTATCAGATTAAGCATACAAATGAATTAAAAGGTCAACTGTGTTGTTAAACAAATAAATAGAAGCTCCATAAAACCTCATTTTTGCATTGGAATTTTTCTCGACAACTATGCAGCACATGTTTCACATCCTTGTATAACTAATAAATTGAAGTTTCCAGCATCACTGTAATCACACAAGCCTTCAGTAGTTTATCATCCATGGCCATACATCCTGATCGTACTTTTACAAGTAAATGGCATTGCAGTTGAATTTGTTTTGAAAATCCTAGACCACATCAGACAGAGTAGATAAGCACTATGTTTAGAATGTACCTTTTCGAATGATTGCAACCTTGGCTTTATTCTCTTGTGAATGTCATACAACAAGATGGGTGGAAATAAAAGAAGAACATTTCTGACTCGTTCATTAGGAACCCCAATATCTTCCAAGACCTTCACAGTTACCTTTAGACGAGATTCTAGTGGAAGAGAAAAAAGACGTGGAAAAGATTCAATGAGGTACCGGAAAGAGGTGTTATCAGAACCCAAGAGATTCAGACCTCCACGCCTTGCTTCAACCTATTACGCGAAAAAGAAAAAGGGGGGTTCATGCAAAACAAAAGCATGCAGGACATCATCTGACAAGGTATGAATCAGAAACATCAAATTTTCAGCAAGCATTCTGACCTTTTCAAAGTATGCCAAAGTCTGCTGCACGTCCTCATCGACAGAAATGGAGAGGTGTGTCATCATACGCCGAGCATTTTTCCCAATAAATTCAGAATCAAGACTACCAGAAAACAAAATTTCCTTCACATACTTAACCTGCGAAGGGAAAAAGAAAATCAGAAAATTCAGAAATTTGCAACCACATGTACATGAAAATAGCCACTTTAAGGAGAAAAGAACAAAAAGTGAACAAAAAAATGCCGAAAATGAGCCAGTCAGATTGTCAAACACCTTGTGAACAAGGAGAGGTAGCACATTGGAGCCGGAAGAAGAGAGATAACGAGCCAAGCGAGTGGCGGGGGAGAGAGGAAGTCCTTCGCTCTCCAGGAAAGGGAGAATACCTTTGTCCCCTTTCTGCTTGGCCATCTGATACACTCTGTTTTTAAACTGTACAGGCCCTTGATCACCGGGCCCTGCGGCGGCGGACCACGAGTTCCAGTCGTCAAGGTCTTGGACGCCGTCGATCAGCATCTTCAAATAGTTGGGGCAGCCAAAGCTAATGCGAGACGCGTCCTCCCTCGAAACTCCAAGCTGTTCCAGATACTCTCTGATGGCTTCTCTCACTTCTTCTAAGCGATTGCCGTCGTCTGTTTGTTGCTGAGCCTCAGAATCGAAGCTCGGGAAGGTCGACGCAGTGTAGCTACAATTACTGTATTTTTTGGGCTGATAAATCGTGAAAATCGGAACGGAGACGGAGATGGGGGTTTTGGTAGGGCTTTGGGGTGGTTTCGCGAATATGAACAGTCGGGGTCTGAGAGAAGGGCAACAGTACGGAGCAGTGATGACGTATGGGTGGAGATGATGATAATGGTGACAGAGCAGGCTCGGAGCCGCCATGTAAGCCGGCAGAGCAACTGTGCTCAAGTCTCAGGTCGACTTATTACACAACAGTACGTTGAGACTCGTATTAGATCATATCAAGAGACAGGCGGACGGCAGATCTATTATCATACAATCTTCAATAGAACGTTTTAAATATAGTATTATACAAACGAATCATTTTCTTGGATTCCCACTAAACTAAGATTTAAAACTGTTTGAGTTTTACTAGCGCTCTTTCATCTCTAGGTCATTATCGTCTTAAACAAAAGTGAACTTTATATTTTACGAGCAGAACACAAATAGGAAAAGCATGGTAAAAGATGCAGCGATAGAAATACTTCCATCTCTTTTCTTCAGTGGAACTAATATTTCGCTATGAGCTAAAAAAAAAAAAAATCAATCATTGCTATTACAATTTTCTAATCTCATACAATATAAAAGTAAATCTTGCCAGGCAAAACAGGCAAAGGAGCATGCACCACAAAAAATTATCATCTTCAAATGCTTCGTGGGATACTGCATAGATGCATTCTCCAGACATATTGCAAACCCAAAAACCAAAAAGGAATGTCCTACATAAAAAGTAATGTGTAGCTAGCACCACTAAGCCCAGGTCAAATATCATGTAGGTTGATGAATCTAGTCAGGTCTTCATTACAGAATTACACATATAAAGATCCAACTGATACAACATGAGTACAAGCTTTTCTCAATTGCAAACCAGCTGCACCAATTCATCGGCACACATAGCACATTACACAGATTCACCGCATAGTTTTGCACACTGAAAACTAAAGCTCTTTTGATCTTTCATTAACAATAAAACCCAGGAAGGGCTGATGATTTTGTTTTAATCAAATAAATATTTCACAGAACGGCTTTGTAATATTCCATCAGAATAATGTTCCACAAAGGTTATAAAATTCACCAAACAAGAATCCAGAGAAGTGCAGAATGAAAATAAAATGCAATCCACCTAACAACAAAAATAAAAAATGAACGACGAAAAATGTCAGCTACCTGTAAAAATCCACCGATTTAATTTTACTAGTCGAGACCATGGTGAATCAATCAGTCGTCAACCTCCAAGGAAATCAACCAACAAAAATAAAAAGAGGCTAATTGCAAACAGAATGGAGAATACAGATCTGTGAACAGAGGCGGAGCTAGGATTTTAAAATACCTGGGGCTAATGAACTATATCAATAGAGGCGGCAACATCACGATCTCCGCTCGTCGACGTATGTTCTTTTGGCTTAAAGAACGAATTGATAGTCTTTGTTTTCTTCGTACCTTGACCATCCATTATGATTGAAACGTATCTAGTTAACAAAAGAAGTAAATTAATCAAGCATTTGGATGATATAAGCAAACTAAAAAATACAAAAAAAATAAAAAGATAGAAAAAGGTAATCAGAACCATTTGTGAGTTTTTGTACACAATCTTATTATTATATAGGCCAAACAAGCATCCACACCTTTTAAAGCATCAAGCACATAATCAACAAGCATTAATATAATTAAGCTAAAAGCATGTTCTCTTATTGATCTCAACTTCAACATAAATTTTCAAAACTTGTAACAAAACAAATAAAGGCATAGCCATAAGCCCACTGGGAGAAAAACAATTAGGCTTTCAATTCACATATGACAAAACAAAGAGACAAACCAAAATTACCAAAATTTAATTAACCTAGACGAATTAGAGAATAAAGATACAATCAGAAACAAATCAAACATGACACCATTGAACAGATTGAACATTTCAATTAAATTAAACAAAATTCATACTTTTTTTTTTCGCAACGACAATAACCAAATATATTTCACCAAAAAAAAACGTCTTACAAATTCGACCACCCAACTGGATGAACAAATAACTATACAACCCACATAGGAAGTACAGTATCTAAATAGGAAAATTTATCAAATTAAATTAAACAAAATTCATACTTACCACAACTTAATTCACAAAATTAAACCCACCACAGAAAGAACCAAAATTTATACTCACCACAGAAACAAACAAAAACAAATCAAACAAATTAAATTAAAAATTGAACAAATTCAGTCACCATTCACCACAGTTTATTTCACAAAATTCAGACATGACACCACATTTCAATTCATACTCAATAAACAAAAAATTAATCAATTTAGGTTCAGTCGTTGTTACCTCGGGGCTCGGAGTTACACTCGGTCCCGCTGACTTGCCGGTTGCCGCCCGCTGCTCAATCCTCGAAGCCCGAAGGTCTAGCTTCCCCGTTCTTCGCAATCGTCGGATGGAAAATGCACCGTTCACCGCCGCAGTCTCGCAGAGGCTTGAGAGAAATCTAAGGAGAGCTCGTCGTCTATTTTGTGTGAGAATTGAATCGTGTAATTGTGTGAAAAGAGTGAGAGTTGTACGTGTACTGGTTTTAACAAGCCTAACATTGAATTTTTAATTTCTTGGGCTTTGTTGTTGTGTTGTTGGGCTAATTCAAAAGGCTAACTAGAAATGCATATAGGGCTAAGAACAATAATAATCTAAAGTCTAAATTAATTTTTTTCTTTTTTGAATTTTTACTTGGGGCTGGAACCCACCCTAGCCCATGGGTGGCTCCGCCCCTGTCTGTGAAAGAACGCAAACTTTAGATTTTCTTTTTTTAAGATTTTTCGACTCTCAAGCGAAAGCGAAACGCGTTCGCTTTCGTTCAACGATGCGGTGTGAGTGTGACGGTGAAGGTGTGATTACGAGTCTGATTGGATATTTTGGGTGTTACTCCCAAATTATTATTATTATTCACCGTCTCAAAAAGATATTTATGTCCTTTTCTATTAAAATAAAAAATTCACTCTCCTCTTACTACACTCTCTCGTTTTACTTTCCGAAAATACTTTCGACAAATTCCGACAAGGTACGGTTAAATTTTTTCGTGGCGGCTGGCCGGCCAGATTGCCGCTACCGTTGACCGCGGCCGGCCCCTGTCTAGCCAGCTTGACTTTTTCGGCCGTGCTCAATACGGCGGCCAATGGCTGGCGGCAAGCTATTCCTGGCCAAAAAGTGAGGCCGGCCAGACCTAGACTGGCCGCAGTTGCCGGTCGTCTGTTGGCAGCGCAGCCGGTTGTTTTTTTTATTTAAATTATATTAGTATATAAAAAAATTATATTAGTATAATTTTAATAGTATAAAATATAATTAATTATAATAGAAAAAATTATGTTGGTATAAATTATTACGTTATAGATTAGAATAGATTATCTTATAAAGTAGAATTTATTGATATTATGTTAGAAGTTAAAAATTATTGTGTTATAGATTAGAATTGATTGTTTTGTAAATTAGAATTTATTACTATTTTGTTAGAAGTTGGAAATTATTATGCTATAGATTAGAATTGATTGTCTTATGAAGTACAATTTAGTACTATTATTATAAAAGTTAGAAATTATTGTGTTATAAATTAGAATTGATTGTCTTAAAAATTAGAATGTATTACTATTATATTACAAGTTATAATTGATTACATACTAAATTACAATTTACTATTATTATATTAGAAGTTATAATTAATTATCTTGTAAAATTATTAACATACATCGTAATATATTGCAGGTGCCACTCAAAGATTTTGGAGGAGACAGTTTTGATTACAGACCTGCTTTCACTACAGATGAACTATTTGATAGTTGCGAAGAAGTTGTTGAGTTGGGAAAAAGGTTGGCAATTATGTCTGGTTTCGAATTGGTCATCTCGGAACACAAAAAAGAAGGAAAGCAGAAGATTTTGAGGTGTCATTGAGGGAAACGTTACAGAGGCAATATAGGAGATTTAGTTAAGGCTGTTTTCAGACGTTCGAAAACTAAAGTAAGGGGTTGAGAGAAAGAGGGGGTTGTGTAATAAGTCGACCTGAGACTTGAGCACAGTTGCTCTGCCGGCTCCGAGGCGGCTCTGTCACCATTATCATCATCTCCACCCATACGTCATCCCTGCTCCATACTGGTTCCCTTCTCTCAGACCCCAACTGTTCATATTCGCGAAACCACCCCAAAGCCCTACCAAAACCCCCATCTCCGTCTCCGTTCTGATTTTCACGATTTATTAGCCCAAAAAATACAGTAATTGTATCTACACTGCCTCGACCTTCCCGAGCTTCGATTCTGAGGCTCAGCAACAAACAGACGACAGCAATCGCTTAGAAGAAGTGAGAGAAGCCATCAGAGAGTATCTGGAACAGCTTGGAGTTTCGAGGGAGGACGCGTCTCGCATTAGCTTTGGCTGCCCCAACTATTTGAAGATGCTGATCGACGGCGTCCAAGACCTTGACGTGCGTAGGAGATAGTGGTTTTTTTTTATTAGTCTAAGATGATTTCTAACCCTTTGATGTATTTTAATCCAAGGGTTATAGTGTAACTGCTGGTGCTGCTGTAAGTGGCTCACAGCAGCACCCCCGGACCCTTAGAATCTGCGCTTATGAAATTTCAACCTTATTACTGTCAAAAATGAAAAAAAAAAATACTATTCTAAGAATGGGAAACAATATTAAATAGTAACTAAATGGAGGAAGTGAGAATTACTATTGATCCTCCTTAAATAATATTAAATAATAATTATAAATTAATGATGTTGGTTCAAACAATGTAAAATTATCTTGTATAAGAGAATATAAAATTGTATGTTTTATTAGAAACACCTAATTTATTATAATAATAGTAGTTGGGATACGCCGTGCACGCACGGCGGACTTAAATTCGGTCTAAAAATACACTGAAAATTCTCAAATTTAGTTTAAAATCCTCGTGTGGATGGCTGCAGCACGCCAAGCCTTCTCAAAGGTGTTGGTCGTCATTTGTGCCTCCGGGACTACTCTCAAACAGCCCCGGGATGAATCAAAAGCTCCATTAAGGTGCTCGGATTTCGATCCAACCTTTTCAATACCTACACAATTTGGACGAAGAGTCTGTTAAAATCAATTTTTTTAAGTTATATCAAAATTCATATATCTCTATTTATAAAAATCTTTCAAGCTTTGGTGAAGATAATTGATTGACAAATCTAGTCGCAAGTTTAGATTCAAATGTATGTAATGGTAATTAGACAAATCTAGTCTATCTATCTAATGCCCAAAATGGTTATACAAAGATTGAAGTCTGCCTACACAGCTGCCACAAGGTAGTTGCAAAGCAAAAAAAAAAATAAAAAAATCAATTTTACCATCATTTTGTTAATCAGAATTGTATATTACAATAGTTGGCATGGCAATTAATAATTGCTTAAAAATAAAGGCAATAAAAGTACTGTTAGGTCCAAATTGAGTAGAATCTAATTCTGATTATCATTAGCAGCATTACCACCGTTCAAATTTTACCGAATAAATACATTTACCTTGAGTTAACTTAAACACACCTAATTTTCAAGAAAAAAACTCAATACATAACCTGATCCCTAGTTTTCTTATGTTGTTGCTCCATAGTGGAAGCCATGGCAGGAATCTCTCCCTCCAATATGTTGATATTTACTAAAAGGCTCACAGATCTTACAAATTATCAGATGAATCATGTTCGTGATATATGGATGGGATATGCTGGCATACAATAGAACTCCCATGTATTATTGCTCATTTATGGACTATTTCATGTGTTGGTGGTCGTATAAGGTGTTATGAATAACTTACATGTTCTGAATGAACTTACAATATTATGTGCCGAACCTCACTCTTCACATCTACATCTAGATTCGCTGCAAAAGAGTAAATGGAATAAAAAAAAAAAAAAAACCAAGAATATTACAATTAGATTTATAGTTTGAAGCTAAAAGCGTAGAACTGTTGCAAATACAATAAAAGATGATGAAGAAAGAAAAACATATAGGTTAAATCTTGTAATAAGGTATAAAAGGTGGTTAAGAGTAAAAATGCATCTCATCCTCATGAAATAGAACAGAAAAAATAAGAAAAATGAGGCAGACCCTACCAACTTTGAACCTAAAGATAAATCACAACCTTTTATGACAGAAACTCAAAAAAAGAATGTCTTATGTGAAGTGATATACAACTCCCAAAATGATCCAAAGTAAATTAATTCAACAAGCATAACACTGCCAATCAGAATTTCACATATTCAACCCAAATGCACATAAGTATTCATCACAAAACTATAAAAATTGGTAACAAACTCAATGAACAATAAGCAAGGATGAAGTGATATATCTCTTCAACGGCTAATATTCGGGATAGTATCGCCCAAACGTTAAGTCATATATCACATTCAATATTCAACTGTTAAGTCAAAACAAGACGAACCCCGTTTCGAGACCTGCGAACTTCAGAATTTCATTAAATGTGTGTGTTTTTAGTGTGTGTTTGTATTGTAGGTATAAATAGGACTTTTGTGTTGTATTTTGAGGACATTCTCTCATTTCCCAACTTTAAAGTTGGGAAAAATCCTCTCTTCTCTCTCTTCTCTCTATATTTTGGTTCTTTGGTTTGGAGGTGCATACTTGACATTTTCCGGCGAGTTTTCCGGTAACTTTTCCGGTTTATCTTATTTTTATCTAAAATTCGTTCTCTACGCATTATTTTCGTCCAATCTTGCTATAGGAAAATAGGTACCTTGATTAGGGCTTATTATTTCGAGTTGTGATTTGGTTGGAATTATGTGTTTATGCTCGATTTTAGTACTTTGCTTTATTTTTATTGTTTGTCTAAGTGTGTTAGGATTTGATACGTGTTTATCTAGTATAGAGGTCTCGACTTTGGTAAAATCGGGATGATCTAGTGTAGAAGACTCGTGTTAGAACACCTAGGATCACTAGACTTGCATGTTTTCTTTTTGTTATTTTTATTTTCGTCGAGTGTGGAGACTCCGTGCTACCAATGATTTTATGTTTCTTTTGATTCTTGCATTTTCATCAATTGCTCTTAGATTAATAGCGTAATTAAGTGCAAATCACCCATAATCAACCGAGTAGAATGTTTAGGAATTTATTTTCGTTCTTGTGAATTAACGACTAGATAGTGAACGAAGCTCCGAAGAGCCTTCCTTTGAGAACGACCCGAGTCAGGTAACTTGGTTACCACATGCCCAAAAATACTACAAACACTTCACTAGTTGGGGTGTTTAGTTTGTTTGTTTAGTGGGAGTGTTAACGTAGTGCTATTATCTACTTTGTGTAGGCATCCCTTTAGATTCGGTTAGATGCCTGTTTGGCTCATTCAAGTTGGTTCTAGTTGTAATTATGTGTTTTTATCTATAAATATTCTATCATTTCAGAAAAAAAAAAAAAAAAAAATNAAAGTAAATGACTCATCCTAAACCTACCACAACTATAACTAATTCTACTAACTACTTCCCTGACTACAACGTGGACTAACAACTATTAATGGAATCCCTCGTTGCAGATAATATCCAAAAGTACAGAGATCTTATGACTTAGTTTTCCCAAAATTCTGGAACACAAAATTGAAATCCTGGTTTCACAAGCTTTAAAATATAATCAACAAGCTCACAAACTCTCAGAGAATTGACTAACTCAATATGCTCAGGAGAGAATAATAAAACTCAGCTTTTATCTCTGAATTTCGTGATCTAATATATGTAGAAAAAAGGAAAATTCTAACTAGGTAAGGACACCTTGGATTATCGTGACCTTCAGCATCATTCCTCTAGAGTAAGATTCCTTCAAGTAGAATCCATGTATGTGATTTGGAGATTTTCACAATTATATTTCCAAAATTGTGAAGGAACATGATTTTCCCTAAATAGATGATCTTCCAAATTTAAGAAATCTTGCGGTAAATCTTTCTAAAACTTTTAGGATCCTTCAAGTAGGGATAACTCATCCTTTTATAATTCTTATCAAATATTCCTTCTCCAACAAGAGAGAGATAACTAATTATGGTATTGTTTGTTATGTTTTTGTGCTTATTTTTGTGTGTTTTATGTGGCTTAGTCGAGTTATTTAAGGTTCATTTTAGTGTCCACAGGTCCATTTTATCGTATTTTGAGTATTTTTATTCTCGTCGTGCGTTTTTGTATTTTTCCGTATTCTCTCGCCTCTTTTGGTGTGTTATGTTGGTCCATATTGCAAGCTTGGGAATCTGAACCATTTTCGAGCCATTCCGAGATCATTCCGAATCATCCGAGCCATCCGAGCGAGAGATAGCCTACCTTGGGACTCAACCTACTCGCTGCGAACTCGAGTTCGCGTGCCGCGAGCGCGGCCCGAGCAGCACCAGCACACCGGCACTCGCAGCGAGACGGCGTTTGCGTGCCGCGAAACGCCAGGCGCGAGCTGCCCATCAGCGCCACTCGCAGCGAACTTCCATTCGCGTGCCGCAAAACGCCAGGCGTGAGCTGCCCATCAGCGCCACTCGAAGCGAGCTTCCATTCGCGTGCCGCGAAACGCACACCACAGCAGCCCATCATCGCCACTCGCAGCGAACTTCCATTCGCATGCCGCGAAACGCCAAGCGTGAGCTGCCCATCAGCACCACTCGCAGCGAGCTTCCATTCGCGTGCCGCGAAACGCGCACCACAGCAGCCCCAGGCGCCCCCTCGCAGCGAAGAAGCATTGGGTTTAACCACAATATTGTTTCATTGCCAATACATATTAGGTATTTTTTTTATTTAAATGAAATCCCCCCTATATATAAATTCCGAATATGCTGAGCCTAAGTGGCAGGCTTGCATGCTTCGGAATCCTCGGTGTCAAAATTCCATGCTTCATTATTTGGTTGGATAGATTTTAATTTAATTCTAATTCAAAAATAGTTTGGTTCGGATTACCATAAGTATGTTGATTTATTTATGATCATTTTAGATGTATTAATTATATTTTAATATCATTTCTTATTATAACCATTGAATTGTAAATGTATTTTAAAAGTTGATAACTTTTGTATTTCTTATCGGTTTTACATATATAATATATCAAATTAATCATCTTTTGATGAGCTTCGATTTGACATCCATATTGTATATATAAAATAAATAAATTATATTTATCTTTATAATAATAATAAAATAATTTATTAAAATTAGTTAGAAAAATATTATTATTTCTCAAATAATATATTTATGTTTAATGTAGTTATATGTTATAAGTTAGAAACATTATTATAATATAATACAGGTAATTCGCACAAGTAACAAGTTTCATACTAAAATACTAGTATGAGTCCCGTGCAGTGCATGGGTAAGAGATATTCATCAATATTTATAAATTAAAATTTTTTATTAAATAATATTTATAAATTAAAAATATGGAATCAATATGTAATACAATTTACCTATATTAATTTATTGAAAATTTTATATAAAGTTTAAATTGTGTGAAATTACATAAAAGTAAATATTTAAAATTAGTATACAACCCCATGCGGTGCCCATAAATGATAATAAATTACATTATATTCGTTTCAAAATAAGTATCATTTCAAAAATTTTATTCAAAAAATTGATTTGACTATATGTGATTCCTAAACTAGTTATTTTAGTAAAATGTTATCCTATACTTAACAACATATGTGAATAATAAGTATAAATATGAAATTTATATTGTTTCATTACTTAAAATAATTTATTATTGTATAAACTATTCAAATAAAAAAAATTAAGTAGTTGGGTAATTTATTAAACTATAAATAGATGACTATTTGTTTACGTCCAAGTTAATATTGACCCGTAAGTTATGAATAATTATATTTTGTTTTTAAATTTAAATAATTTTTTTTATTTTTTTTAATATATTATATATCAAATTTAAACCATGCAACTAATAAAGGTAATAGCTGCAAGATTTGTCAATATATTATATTCTAAATTTAAATCATGCAACTAATAAAGGTAATAGCCACAATATTTGACTAAGATGATTCTGTACATTAATAATGCTGGATTTTTCAAATTTTGACCGAAAATATTACTCAATATAGTAAATACATTAGGCGGGAAACCAAATGTTTTTTTTTTTTTTTTTTTTTCATTGTCTCTTTTTTATATTAATAGATAATTATCTATTTTTTTTTATATAAATTATTCAAATTTTCAACCACTTTTTCTCATTAATTTTAAATTTTAAGGAAAAAATTTTAGCAAGCACCTGTGTAACATACGGGTATTGTACTAGTGACCTAATAATTTTAAAGGAACCTCCAAGGGCTCGTTTACTTTGAGAGACAGGATTAGATAAGAAAATAGTCCTGGGATTTCCGCTGTTTACTTACAAGGATTTGGACAGGATTTTGACGACGTGGCGCCTATGTGGCAGGCGTGGTCCTCTTGTTTATCCCCAACAAGCTGATAAAAAAATCCGGCCTCCCCTATGGATAACTTAATCCCAAAAATCTGGTACCCATTTTGCCCTCACTTTTTGCTGCCAAAATACCAGATTAGCCCCAATTGACCACATTATTACAAATTTGTCCCATATAAAATTGATGAAACTGGTGTTTGCCCTAGTTCTTGCGCAGCGACGAGCGGTAGAGGAGGAAGAAGCAATCTTCTGTAATTCCAGCGATAGGTAAGCTCCATGTTCGAAGTAATCTTCTGTAAAATCATTGCTACAAATTTTTTGTCGAAATATCGGATTCCTCGATATGTAATTCTAATTTGTTTGAAAACGGGGCACTATGTCCTAGTTTTTGTAGAGACAAGCACGGGTGGGGGAACAAACCATATTTCTTCGGTCTTTCCGTCGGGACGCAAGGTAAGCTCGAAATTTGTGAAGATTAATGGTGTTCCTCGAGTTGTAGCAGGCTGCCGATAGTTTCGAGTTTATATTTTTTTTTCCCCAACAATGTGTTTTTTGAACTGCACCATGTTTATCCGACTGAGTATGGTATTGCACATATACCTTCATTTGCTCTGCCGTGTGTTTGTGGAAATATGAGTTTACACTTCACACATAGATCTTGTTCAATGTGCATTCTGTGTGGATGTGCATAATTATTTTGAAGATGGAGTTCGCTTTCATTTACAAATCTATGTTTTGCCTTAGATTTTTGGATATTTGGATACCTGTTGTTTTACTTCCTATATTTGGCTGTACAGAAGGGTATATTAGGGATTTCCCGGTCTAACATCTCATTTAATCCAGTGAAGTAAATGAGGGATTTGTTTCTCAAAAGTCCATTCCTCAAAGTAAACAGGGACTAAATGCTGACATGTAAAGTTAACCTGATTATTTAGTCTTATCCTATCTCACAAAGTAAACGAGCCCCAAAAGTACATCCAATTGGACCACGCGTATTACCACTAGACGTAATAAAATTTGCTGAATGAGGAAACTTTGCAGAATGAGGAAAAAAACCCTAGCTGCCATGTTTTCTCTGGCAAGCATGCTTGAAAAACTGTTACTGTTTCGACCCATGTCCTTGCATTATTGAAAAGCAAAAGTTCAGGCCAAATGACCTTATGCAAGTTGCACGCAAATCACATATTATTATTTTTATTTTTTAAACCCTAGCTTAATTGAAGTGTGCTTTCTTGATTGATGATAAATGTATACTACTTGAGAGCTTAAGACATGAAGTTACGTAGA